TTATATTTTATTGATTAGGCCATTACAGTTGTCCTCATTTTTCTCCCTTTGCTCCGCTCTGCCTAGCACCCCCTACTGCCTCAGGCAATCCTCCCACCATTGTTCAGGTCCCTGGGTCATGAGTATAAATTCTTTGGTTACTCCATTTCCTATAAGGTACTTTACACCCCCCTGGCTATTCGGTAACTGCCCATCTGTGCTTCTTAATCCCCTCACCTCTTCACCCATTCTCCCCCTCACCTCTCCCATCTGGCAACCTTCAGGTAACTAACTTTTTTTCTTTTACTTTTAAGAGTCTCTGTTTATCTCTGGACAACCTTTGGGCTTTTGATAATGATGTGTCTTGGAGTGGTCCTCTTTGCATCCATCATAATTGGGTGTCTCTGCACTTTCTAGACTTGCATGTCTGTTTCCTCTACCAAGTTAGGGAAGTTTTCTTTTACTGTTTTTTCAGATAGTTTAATTTCTTGCTCTTTCTCTTCTCCTTCTAGCGCCCCTGTGAAGCAAATGTTGGACTTCTTAAAGTTTTCCCAGAGGCTGTTTATACTATCCTTGGTTTTTTGGGGATTCTTTTTACTTCTTGTTGTTCTGATTGGGGGTTTTTGCTTCCTTATGTCCCAAATGATTGATTTGTTTTTGGCTTCATCCATACTGCTATTGTTTCCCTATAAATTATTATTTATTTTTTATAAATTATTATTTTTTCAATCAGTATGTCCTTCATTTCTGACTGGGTCTTTTTTTGTGCTGCTGAGGTCCTCACTAATTTTTTTGAGCACCCTTATAACTAGTATTTTGAACTCTGCATCTGATAGATTGCTTATCTGCATTGAGTTTACCTCTTTTCCTAGAGTTTTGACCTGTTCTTTCATTTGGGCCATGTTTCTTTGTCTCCTTATTTTGGCAGCCTCCCTGCATTTGCTTCTATGTATGAGGTAGAGCTGCTTTGACTCCATGTCTTGGTAGTGTGAACTAATGTAGTAGGTGTCCTATAGTTTCCAGTGGCAAAGCCTCCCCTATCTCCCAAGCTGGGTATTCAAGGAATGCCCTTTGTGTGGGCTGAGTCTACCCTCCTCTTGTAGTGGAGCCTAGGTTGCTATTGGCAGATCAATGGGAGGGATTTACCCAGGCTAGTCAGTTGCAAGGACTGGCTATGACCACTAACCACCAATCTCCACCTTCCATTGAGGATCAGCTGTGCAGGGGTAGGGTGGTGGTGCTCCGATGTGGTCTGTGTCTGTAGCTATTCACTGGGTGCATTGGCCCTGGGGTTTCTGGGGTGGTACAGGCCAAGGTGAGCCCCCACCTGTGTTTTGCCTGGGGAACCCTCTCTTAGCTGTAAGGCAATCTGAGATGGCTGCTACTTGTGCTTCGAGAGATTCCCAGGTGAAGCCAAGCTGTGAATATAATCTGGCTGCCACTATAGGGCTCACTGAAGCCAGCTATTGCTTTTTTTATAGGATTTAGGAGACAAGACCAGCCATTCTTATAGAAAAACAGCTTTAGTGGGCTCATAAGTTGGGTAGAATAGATCCTCTGTGGATCTCTAAGATGGGTCACACAGTGTTAGCTAGGTTGATGGAGTCTCAGATATGGCATCAGCTTACTGGCTTTGTGGGGGGAGAGCTCAGCAAAGGGACAGTAGCCTCTGCTCACCCCGATGCCAGACACTTCAGTCTCTCCCCATATACCACTGGTGCCCTTCAAGCTACCACACCAGTTCTGGAGCTCAGAGGGAGCGACTCTGAGTAGGTGAGTCCATGTGAGGGTTCCCCGAGAGGAACTGCTGGGGGTTCCAGCAGCCTCCTCCACTGACTCAATCCCCACTGCTTTTCACAGCCACAAGTTGTGGAGACCTATCTTCCTGATACTGGAATCCTGGGCTGAGGGGCCTGGTGTGTAGGACTTCTCACTCCCAAAGTATCCCTCTCAAATTTTTATCCACATGGGTGTGGGTCTGCATCCGCACCCCTCCTACCAGTCTGGACAGATGTGGTTTCTTCAATTTCGTGGTTGTCAGACTTCCATTCAGCTCAATTACTGATATTCCTGAGTGACAGTTCTATATTTTAGTTGTAATTTTGATGTGGTTGTGTGCAGAGGCAAGCCATGGCTGCCTATGTCGCCATCTCAAGAGTATTTTTCATACCCATTCTTTAAAAGAAAAAGAAAAGAAGTAGAGGAAAGAGAAAATACCAAAGTACCCCTTTCCTTAGTTCCTGTGTTCCAGAAGTGGGACTAAGTGGATTTTTTGGTCAGATTTCAGTTTCATATAAGCTTCCTTTCCCCTCTTTACATCTCTGTGGAAAGGTGCTTTTTACATACAGTGATGGAAGTGGCCAAATTGTATGCCTGGCAAAAGGATGTTTGAGGAGAAATCTGGGTGATATGGGCGATGTTTCTTTTCTTTTTTTAAGATTTCATTTATTTATTTTTAGAGAGTGGGTAAGGGATAGAGAAAGAGGGAGAGAAACATCAGTGGGAGAGAGAAACATTACTCGGTTGACTTTCACACAACGCCAACCAGGACTGAACCCACAACGCAGGCATGTGCCCTGACTGGAAACCGAACTGGCCACCCTTAGCCTTTTGGAACGATGCCCAGCCAACTGAACCACACGGGTTAGGGCAAGTGATGTTTCTATCAGGATAACATCTTTAAATAATTGCATCAATTATAAATACACATAAAATATGTGTGTTTGGAAAACAATAGGCAGAGATAATAGACATCTCAAATTATAACTGACCTTGCTGCAGCATTTATAATGACAGATTTTAAAAGAATTTAGGCTTTTTAATTTTTTTAGTCATAACACTGATTTTTTCAGAGGAGGAAAGATTCAGGAAGTGCACATGTTGGCGGCATGAGCTTGAGTTCCTTTGGCTAGTGGTGACTGCATTCCACAGGCTGTGGGCACAGCCACGTATCACGGGCTGTAGATGGCGGAGTGCTGGGCCGGTGAAGCACACTTGTGCACATCTGCCAGAGATTTTATTTCTTCTATAGTTACTGTAGAATGCAACTTATTTTTAATTGGCTACCTCTAGTTCTAGACACCTCATTCTTCCAGTAACTGGTGCCACAAATGTCTTAGTCACACATATTTTGCCCATTTCTATTGGGACTCTGGTAGTAGTGATAATAACTACCACTTATTGAACCCTTGCATTGTGTCAGGTAATATTCTAAGTTCCATCAATGTATTAGCTCATTTAACCCCTGCAGCTGTCCTGTGAGGCTAGGAGCTACTTTTATCATGATTTATAGATGAGGAGACTGAAGTTAGCCTTCCCAAAGTCACATAACTAACAGCATTTTGAGCCTGGCACTCGGACTACACAGCCTGCACATTTAATTGTATTGTTTGTTTAGTTAAAAATGTTACTTTTTGCATTTGACTTGGATGCCATGTTTCCTCCATGTCTCTGTAATTAATACATATGTTCTATAGACTAAAGCCCCACATGAAGGCAGTTATGACTAAACTCTATTTGATCTCTTAGAAATTGTTGACAGTTTTCCAGTCCTTTAATTAGAGGCTAAATGACTTTAAAGTGAGAGTCCACCAATGTATTCTGTCCAAAATGATGATGGATTATTTAATGTCTCCATTTCCTACTTTCTGAAATCTTTATTTTGAAATTTTTATTTTCTGCTATATCTTGTCCACATTCCATTTTCCAGGTGAATACAGAGGGTTTTTTTTCAGTCAATAAACATTGATTGAAACAATCAAATGTTTATTGTTTGAATAAAAATTGCTTTTTTTGAAACAATAAAAAACAATACACATTGCTTTTTAAAACCTATTTTAACATGATTATTTAAATTTTGCCTTTTTGATACTCATTGGGTAAGAAGTTTACAGTTAGTCACATTGTATGTGTTTAACTTGGAAAAAAGTTATACATTGTAACTTTAGGGAAAAAGTACACATTGTATGTGTACACACTTACTTGGAAAAAAGAGAAGGAAAGTACTTGCTGGCGTGGCTCAGTTGATTGCAGAGTCATCCCACACACCAAAAGGCTGCGAGTTCGATCCCATGTCAGGGCACATACCTAGGTTGTAGGTTCAATCCCTGGTTGAGGAGCATATGAGAAGACAACCAATCAATGTTTTTCTTTTCTCTGTCTCTCCTCCTTTCCCCTTTCTCCCTCCCTCCTTTTCTTTCTAAAAGCAATGAAAAAAAGGGAAGGAGTAACAATTTAAAAATGTGGATGATTGCATCTGCTACCCCCCTGAGCGAGCTTGTGCCCTGGTGTGAATGGGTAATGGGGACATGAATTTATCATCCCTTTAAGCTGGTTTTAGTGAGTGTGCCACTCACTGAGTGTTTTATTCTGCTGGGTATGATTACTTTTTGATACAACATGGTCTACAAAAACAAGCCAACAACTGGGAAAAAAAGTAAGCTCTCCCAAGGCTGGAAGAAAAACCGTCTGTGCCATGCTTACTGAAAGAGAATGTGTTGGTCTCTAGTAGGTTTTTCCAGGGTAATTTCCCAAATGTGCAATTTCTGCCTTATGTGTTTAAGTAACTTTCCCTTCATACATAATGCCTTTGTACTGAGTACCTGCCCAGTGCCGGGCACTGTGACAAGTACCAAAAGAATGAAGATCTGGCACAGTCTTGATAGCCCATAATCAAAGCAGGGGAACTGGAGGTAATGGAGAAGAAAAAAAAAAGAGTATTGTAAAATTAAATTGGCAAATGCATAAAAATTACTATAATATGACCCAAAATAGTTTATTTTGGATATTATAATAACTTTAAAAACAGGAAAGATCAAGTGTTTTTTTTTAACACTGTTGTATGTACGGAAGTGACTTGCTGAACTCAGTGGGTGCTAAAAGTACTATAAGCAGGGTTTTGCCCTGAAAAAATCTTTCAACTCTATGCATTTCTTACATATGCTAATCTTGACAGTGTTCACCTGAATATCATGACATTTTAATTATACCTGCCTTACATCACACATAATGTTTTCTTCTAGATTTCTATATATTCTGTTCCAGAAAAGATTGGTGAAGTTCACCATGCCTTGGAAACAACTGTGAAGCTTTTTGAATTTTTTCAAGACTACTTTGAAATTCAATACCCACTTAAGAAATTGGGTAAGAATCAAACAGCGACTCTGATTTTTATTACCATTATTTTGCAAACATTTTTAGAAAGAACTCTTGCCAAAGTTATTATCAAAGAAAACCAGGAAACATTTAATGATTTAAAAATTGTTTGCATTTAAGATCATTTAGATTTCTTGAATGTATCTGAATGTGGAGCTTATAACACTCAGAAGTTTATAGGACTGCTACAAAGGTGCTGTGTAAGTGGGAACTTGCTTCAGGCTCAGTCTGGAGTTTAACTAATTCTAACTTCATGAGAAATTTCTGATTCAGATAGTAAGAACTGAGTAGTGGAAGCTCTGAGCAATGAAGCTGCTTCTAGATCAAAGAGAGTTGCTGCTGCACACTGTGAAGGAATTAGGTATCTCTTGGTTTGCTGAGGAATAGAGTACCGGTGACTGCAGGGGCTTCATCAGGTCTTCCCCAGCTGACCTATGGGTGAGGAGCGTAGGGGGCTAGAGTAACGCAGGTGCCATTCATTAGGGGTATAAAATGAACTCACTGCCTCCTGATCCACAGTGATAAAGCAATGGGTAAAATATTTTTATTTAACCAGGGAGTACCTTAAATAAGGGAAAGTTAATTACTTTTTTTCTGTTATGTCCAGATTTGGTGGCTATTCCTGACTTTGAAGCCGGAGCAATGGAAAATTGGGGTTTAATCACCTTCCGAGAAAAGACACTTCTGTATGACAATACTACTTCTTCAGTGGCAGATAAAAAACTGGTTACTAAAATCATCGCTCATGAGCTGTCCCATCAGGTATCAGCAACCAAGGCTGTGATATCTCATACCTGTGGTCTGTTTCATATCCTAGAGTATAGAATAGGTTTATATGCAAATAATAAGTCACCTTTTTCTTATAGTATTGCTTTCATAATAAAACGAAGCTTTTGACACAAACAGCTTCAGATGAAAGTGCTGTGTAATGTTTGCGTAGGACTTTATAGCTTATAAAGCATTTTCACGTGCATTATCTCACTTTTCATAACTGCTGTAAGGTAAGTGGTAATCCCATTTGACAGATGTGGAAACAAGACTCAGCTTAAGTAAATAACTTGCTCAAAGTCACACAGGTACTAAGTGGCAGCACTAGGCCTTAAAGAAGCACTATCCTATCAAGATCTCTCTCTTCTCCCCCAACAGCACATGGCTATTTTGCCTCTGACTAATGCTGGCTGCTCGGTGTACCTTTGCGGGGGCAAAATCTTTTCCTAAGTTGTACTCTCACAACTCTTGGACTATAGTTGTCATGACTAGATTTATTTTTCCTCTCCTGCTAGAACTGTATTTTTAAGTTACTTTTAGAGGGGGAGGGTATTCTTTGTATGACATGGAAAAAAAGAAAGAAAATTACACAGGTACATGAAGCTCCTTCTGCCTTTCCCAACACATTGCCTCTCTTGTGTCCCTGGTGAGGCGCTTCTCGGTGCTGGGTACAGGTCGGAGGTGCTGTGACCGGTGGGAGGACACAAAAGAAGGGCAGAGCACGCTCTGGGCGGTTCACTCCCTGGCCCACACTCCCCCTGAGGACAATCGTCTGGCCCTTGTGAGGGCTTCACGACAAGCTGGTATATGAAGCACATGCTTCTTTACTACCAGAGTGTTGGGCATGTAGACGAGGCGTCTCTTAGACAGTTTCCCCCGGGTCTGTTATATCTGGGGCCTCCGTTACTGCTGGGGAGTATTTCTCTCTTACTTCTTTTTTAAGATGTACAGACCACCTTCATCTGAAACAGGTTTTAGGATGATATCTTTGAAAAATGTTTTCTGGTAATTCTCAAATATGTTTTGTGTCAGTCTCTAGTAACCATATCACTGTGCTGCTGGTCTAAGTCAAGCCCTGGCTCCCCCCCAGCCCCCCGACTGCTGCACACCCTGTCTTTATTTTAGGGAATGTTGAGATACACTTTTTAGGAGAGTCTCCTTTATCTTCCTTCTTACTCCCTCACAGAAGAAGGCATTTAAGATATTTCTGATTTTATTTATTTCCACGCAGGCCAACTTTCTTAAGGAACGTTGTTTGAATTATGTCTTACGTCATGTGAATACTGTCCTCAACATGGGCGGCTGAGGAGCAACGTGGAGTGTGGGCTCTCAGACCACAGGGAAATCTGTCACGTAGAAATTTACTTTTAGTTGTTATGGGTGGTCACAGATGCAATGGAGAGTAATCTTACTAACTCGATATTAAGAGGTAGAAGAATTTTATTATCTAGGAAATCTCATTTTTAATGAGGTGTCTAAAAACTGTTTTTTAACCTAGTATTAATGTGTGTTACTTTGACAAATATGCTAATTGTATCTCATATTTTTTTCCATTCAATTAGAGTAAAATGTTAAGTTTATTTTACTTTTAAAGTAAATTTATACAGCTTTTGTAAGTCTTTACTTTGAATGCAGTTTGTTTTAACTATAATGACTATTTTTAAATAATTGTCATCTAATTATAGATGATTAATCTAAAAATTCAGTTGTTAGAACATTGTTGAGAATGCAAATGCTGTGTTGGTTAGTAGATTGTTTCCCCCTCAGTGGTTCGGTAACCTGGTAACGATGCAGTGGTGGGATGATCTGTGGCTGAATGAAGGGCTGACTACGTTCATGGAGTATTTCTCTCTGGAGAAACTGTTCAGTGAGCTGTCCAGTGTGAGTACAGGGTTTGTCAGGTCTACTGTGAGTAAATGCCGGGGGACGGGGGGGGGGCAAATTATATTTGGCATGTATTTTTATGCATTTGCAATAAAGAAAATGAATCTAGGAAGAAACAGTAAAATTAGCCCCTGTTACTTGTATCTGTACCTCTTGAGATTTGACAATGAAAATTATGCTTTTATTTAATGATATATGTCATTGAAAGCTGAAAGTATGTGAAATTATTTTACACTTTGTAAACATTTGTTGTTAGGGAGAACTTTTTAAATTGCTTTGCTACATTTTATTTTTAATAGTTATGATTCTTCTGCTTGAAGAAATTTAGATATAGTTGAAAAGCCTTTTTGCAAAACAATACATTTTATCCTGTGCATAAAGAAAGAAAAAAATTAAGATATTCTGTAGCAATGCTGTCTGTTATCATGCTGATCATGCTTATAACAGTGACACCTAAGTTGATACAGACAAATAATTTGCCTTTTTTTTAAGATACAAACCATATTTTATTCTGTTCAAAGACTTGAAACAGCATTCTGTTAGAGAGAACAGAAAGTCACTATGTTATTGGGCTTTATGGAGATGTTTCCTGCCCTTAGAGATGTTTGGACACACCAAGATAGGATATGACACACACTGTCAAATAATTCATGCAGCAGGTGGGAAAGCATAAAGATCCCTTTTAACCCTAAAATGCTATGACTTTCTATAAAACTTCCTGGCTATATGACCCAAAACTGCTTAAAACAGGAGTTCTTTTAGAGTTTTCAGTTTTAAATTTGGGTGTAGGTCCTGCTCAAAAATTTCAAGTGGGATAGAAGAAACTTATTTTTAGCTAGAAGACTAAAGAAGATCCATTAAGTCTGTGTATGTCCCGCAAATAAGCAGTGAGATTTGCAGTTTCACCACTTGGTGGTGCCCAGCATGTTGAAAAGCTTCTAATTTGCTGTTGGAGCTCATCTGCCGAGCTCTCAAAGAATTCTTTCCGTTTAGCAGTGATATTTTATTTCAAATGAACCTCAGTTAAAGGGAATGTACATTTCTTAATAGAAAAGCTGGACTGTGTGTAATAAATTAGCTTAAGGTCCAGTTATTATTTTTGTTTAATTTCAGAGTTTTAAAATATATGCTAACCTTTTCATACTATTTTGAATATCAAGATTTGGCATTTGGTTGCTGTAATAACAGAATCTCTTAATTCATCCTTATGTTGTTTAGGAAACACTTTTTCATGTGGCCTGGAGGTTATTTTATTTTTTAATTTAATAAATATACATAAATGTCACACTCATCCTGTATTTTCAAAAGATTATGTTCTGAAGTTTATTGAGTCTGTTTATTTTTAATAATGTCCTTAAGCAGTAGTATAACTTGTATAAATAATTACTATACTTGCCTTTGCCTTTGATACTGCTCATGATTTCCTAATCTGTTTAATTTTTTACTAGTATGAAGATTTCTTAGATTCTCGATTTAAAACCATGAAGAAAGATTCCTTGAATTCATCTCCTCCAATATCGTTGTCTGTTCAGTCTTCACAACAGATAGAAGAAATGTTTAATTTTTTTTCTTATTTTAAGGTATTGCTATGCACAATAGTACCTGGAATAGCTTTTAAATTAATTTTATATGTGAACAAGCTGCATGGTTTAGATTATTTTAAAGATTATTATTATTTAAAGTATTTTTAGGTATCCTGTTAAAATTTAAGATGCTTGCTTCTATTTAAATCTTGGTCTTAACTTTTTATGGATTGTTTTATTTTCTCTGTCTCTGGTTTAAGTTCTCTGACTAGTATTCCAGGCAGTTAATATAAGTTAGATCTAAGAGATCTAAGTTACTTAGATCTAAGATCTCTTAGATCTAAGTTAGATCTTAGAGAAATATAGTTTCTAAAGTTGTTTTGCTCTTTAGATCTATTGGTAGTATATGTACAGGGAGGGTGTTAAGCAAGCCCTTGGCTGTGTTATTCAGAATCATGGTATATTCCAAAGTCAGAATTTTCAGAACAAGTAAGCAAATAGGTATTTTAATAATTGAAGATTAGGAGATTCCAAAATGGCTGTGGAATAGGTGGAAGCTACACTCAGATCCTTCTGGCACCAAACCAGATTTACAGCTAAATTATAGAACGGTCTACTTGAATAACTAGCTGAAGGACAGCTGAACAGCAGTGTTATAAACCAAGGATTTACAGAAGAAGCCACATAGAGTCTGGTAAGAAGGGCAGAGATGCAGAGAGGGCTGGCCCCCGCACCCACCCACGTGTGGTGGCTGAGAAGCTGGAGGGGTCTCTCAATTCCAAAAGCACACCCCCCGCCCTGAGGAATGTGGGGGTCTCATCCTCAGCCTGGGCTTCCCAACCTAAAGCATTGCATCTGGGAAGAGGAACCTGCAGACAAAACCCTATTTCCCCAGCCTTCCACAAACAACAATATGGTGATTGCCAGAGAGAAAGGGGACGGGGGAAGGGAGAGGAAGACAAAGAGGAAAGAGACTTGAATTTGTGTGGCGTGTGCATGATGCAGTGTGCAGATGATTTGTTACAGAGTCAGTTGTATACTTGAAAAGTATAGGTTTTATTAACCAATGTCACCCCAGTAAATTAAATAATTTTTAAAAAAGAATTAAAGATTAGATTGCACGATCAGAAACACAGACTTCAGGTTTGGAGGTGAATCAAAAACAGAATAGAAACCTGACTGGGATCACCATAGGTCAGAAGAACACAATTATCAGTGCCACTCACATTTGTGTTGGGAAGGAGGGGTGAATGTTATATGCCTTCTTTACCTCCTTTTCCTTGTGGGTATTAGATTAGTTGATTAATAAGTTGAATTCCTGTATTAGAGAAGAAAATAGACAAAATAAGTGAGATGCAGTCCACATTTTTAATGGGAATGTTATAGCAGAAAGGGAAAGTCAGTGTTGCAAGACAGAAAAAGAAATGTTGGCAAAGAATGAGTACTCAAATTTACCATGTAACACCATAGAGAGCAACGGGTACTGAATTCAGTTAATGCGTGTATGGTAATTTTAATGACTTAACATTGATAAATTTTTATCAGAATTGAAATTCATTTAAAAACCATTTGAGTGCTTACTGTGTATTAGTCATTATTTAGTAATTGGAGTTGAATTTTTCAGTTTTCCCCTCAACTAGCATACAGTTTAGAAGAAAAAATAAATACATATCTGTAGCAGATGCAGGAAGTGATATAAATTACTTTTGGAGATAGATAAATATGATTTGTATTTCAGATGAGGAAAAGCTTCACCAAGGAGGTGGTGGTTTTAAGACTGGGAATGATGATGTGAGCATTGGTGAATCCAGTGTGACCTTAATAGGTGCATGTCTAATTCTGAATTTTAGTATATGATGCAGACTCCGGTCCACAGTGTCTGCAGCGTTATGGCTGAGACAAGACAAATTCACATGGACTACCAAGTCCTGTGGAGAAAAAGGGACAGCATGGCCACTCTCTCAAGGGGAGAGCACACTGAATCTTGCCTGGGCAGGCTTTTATTGGCTTTAATTTGCACAGGAATACATGACATATAGGGAAAGCTCATCAATCATTGTCAGGCAGTAATGATCAAATAGATAACATTTAAAGAACTATGAGATCTTATTTTTTGAGTCAAGTCAAATAACTAAAGGGCCATAAAACGTTGACGAAACAGACTCATTTCATGCTTGGACCCTTATCATTTAAATTGAGGGCATTCTTAGCAAAGCAGGTTTCACAGGATTTTATATTTTCTTTCTTAGGCCTGATCACCCCAGGGAACCCACCCTTTTCAGCACAGGGCCGCACCCACTTCCGGCATTGTTTCAGGCTTAGGCGGAGCAGGGAAAGTAAAGCAGCCAAGAGATTAGGAGACTTCTTGCAGGCAGAATGAGGACTCAGGATATGTCAAAGCTGAGGGGCGAGGGTCCATCACCCCCTTTCTCCATAGTCCCCCGCCAAGTCCTTCCCTGAGGGCCCCTTCATGACCATCCCTGTCTTAGGTCATTCCTCTCTTGAGGAATCTTACCCATCATTGGCTAACCAGTCATGCACATGGGGCCAAGCAGGGTGAAGTAAAGGGGGCAGAAGCGGTGCTCCTACCAAGGAGATAAGCTTTGTCTCCTTAGTGGCTTATGGTCTCAAGGTCTCTCACTCAGCCTTAGCCATGGGGCATCACAGCTTCTGCAACCGGGCAGGGTGGTTCCCAACACCTATAGATCCATCAGTTCTAAACATTGGAAGTGACTCTGCAGGAAGAAGAGATCTTGGTTACTTCAGCAACATGATATACTAAAATTAGAAGTTAATGTACTCCCTACCAGAGAGACTTTTGGGAGCGCTTCTCATTTATTGTCCCCAGCAGAGTGCGCATGAGTTGAACTAGTACTTTAAACAGTGAGGATAAGAGTGGGGATGCCACATAAAATTTGGCATGTTTTTCTATTAAAAATACATTGACAATCACTTAGTTTTTTAATACTAACAGTGAAATAGCAAGTAACTGATAGACCACACAAATGTCTCATAGTAAAAAGTAGTGTACATGGGAATCTATTTCACTCATTCTTTTGAGATCCTTTAAAATAATTTTTAAGACAATTTGAACATAGTCCATATCTAGTTAATGGGATTAAGTAACAGTGTATTATAACTAGATTCTATATATGAAAGCATATGCTTAGATGGATTATATTTTGAATTTTAGGTTCTCAATTTTATAAATCTATTATATTCTATTATTTCCCTCTCTTTCATTTTTATTGAATAGGGAGCTTCTCTCTTGTTGATGCTAAAAACTTTTCTCAGTGAAGATGTATTTCAACGTTCTTTTGTCCTTTACCTGCATAATCATAGTTATGCGTCCACTCAAAGCGATGATCTGTGGGATAGTTTTAATGAGGTAAGTGACCTGAATATTTTATTTAGCTCTAAAAACAAGAAGACAGGAGTTCCATTTATGTTTTTCTCAAGTATATAAATAAGCTGTGGTACCAAAGATAGTTATTTAAGAAAGAGGGGGATGGAACTTAGGATAAATATTTATAAGTAGAGCAAAGAATTAAAAATCAAGAAATGGAAGTACTAGTCTTAATTATTGGAGGATCGTGTGTGGCCTTGTGTAATCATTTTTATTCTATACTTTAATCTCTGTTCTTACTTTGTAGGAAAGTTGTCTTTTCCAAATTAGTATATATTAGTATATTTTCATCTTTTTCAAAGATATTTTTTATTCTTACGATTTTGTAACTTTTCTACTCAGCATTTATGATTTTTTTCTTTACTCTGCCCTATGAATCCTCCTGTCTTTTAGACCCATTTTGTCTAGAGTAGATGATACATCACAAGCTGGCTGCCCTTGGCTGCATACTGCCCTTCCATCACCTTGCTGTTTGGATTTTGCTACATCTGCAAATATTCTAATAAGCAGTGCAATTAGGTACATGTTATGCTTCACAGCAGTGCGTGAACCTAGCCTGTACTGTGCATGTATACTAACTGCATATCCTTATAAGTATTTGAGGGTTTTTTTTAATTTAATTGTTGTTCAAGTACAGTTTTCTGTCTTTTACTCCCATCCCAGCCAACACCCTCAGCCCTCCCAACCTCCCTCAAAGTATTTGAGTTTTTTTACTCTGATCTAGATAAAGTTCTTTTTTTTTTTTCATTTTCACCAATAACTTTATTGAATAGCATATTCACTGCTTTGTTCTACTACATAAAGTTCTTAATGCTTAGAAGATCACAGACATATCTGAAAATCGATGCAAGTTCTGGACATATTCCCCAGAAAAATTGCATAATGCAAAACATCACACAGTTTCAAAGTCGTATGGACCCTGTTTAAGAACTTAGCTCTGGGTGTTTTTTGTATACTCTTTCTGCTTCCTTGCCTTATCTGAACCTGGTATTTTCTAGCTGTTAACCCTTTGCTCAAAAGGCACTCCTTCCCTATTCTCTGAGTTCTCTTTGAGAAGAGGCATTAGTCCTTATTTACCTAAGAGTTGCTTCCAAATCATTGTTTTTCTTTTTATCATGCAGTAGTATTTCAATCAAAAGCTACACTGTTTACTTTATACTTGTTATATTATCTCCTGACATGTAGAATATATTTATTCCTCCCTCACTGACCTCAACTTTTGTATCATAGCGTTTTCCTCTCCCAGCCTAGTCCCTAACACCATCCTCAGGCTTCCCGGCATCCACATCAAACCCTGCACTGTCCTCTTCATTTCAGTTCTGCCGCAAAGACCCCAGAGTGCCTTGCCTTGGAGCAAGCTTGTTTTCTCCCCAACTCCTTGCCCAGAAGTAAATAGATCTTGGCCATAAGAAGTGTTAGATTTAATATCACAATGAATTTGGGAAAATTCACTCTGTCCTTTCCTGCTTTAAATGACTAGGAGTATGGTGATTAAGGTAAGGCCTACCATAGTGCAATGATATTGTCAAACACTGTAAATACTTGATGATTTTAGTTGCTTGCAATTCAGATCCATATGTAGTATAAAAAAATAATTTGAATCATATAATGAGATAGTTCTTCATCAATACAAGATGTTTCAGAGACAGTGGGCAGTAGAGGATCTGTGAACCTCTAACACTAGATTTTTGTAGATAAGTTTATGTAATTATCTGGGAAAGAGGCTCTGGACCATCAAAATAGTTCACCACTGTTCTCTAGAGAGACTTAAAGTCAAGGCAGCCGACCTGTTTATATTTCACTCTGCTGCCGCCACCGCTGCTGCTGTTTGCTGGCATTTCCACAGTGTTAGTTTTTTAAAAGAGGAACTGTAACATTATGAAAGTAGAGGGTCTGGAGAGTAGAGAAATCTAGACTCAGCTGACTCACAGGAGTAAGTCGCAGTGCTTCTGACTCAAGACTCCACGTTATTATTCACACCCTCAGTGCTAGTACTGTGACCTGAAAGGAGGAAGGGTTTTAATGAACACTTGGTTGATAATATCTGCTGGGTTTTCAACAGCGTCTCTCTTTTTAGTTGTTACCTAGTTCTTGCCTTTTAGCAATCGCTCATTTACCTAGCTTAGAAATGTACATCCAACTCAGCATTCCAGCTTCTTTTTATATTAAGTGTAGCCTTCATAGAATGTGGTAGAGAAAGATCTTGGCAGGGATACAAACTAATAACTGTTTATGTTCAAGCAAAAATAATTTATTCTTTTATTTGTAGGTCACAAACAAAACACTAGATGTAAAGAAAATGATGAAAACCTGGACCCTGAAGAAAGGCTTCCCTTTAGTGACCGTCCAGAGGAAAGGAAAGGAGCTCCTGCTACAACAGGAACCGTTCTCCTCAAACACGAAGTCTGAAGTCCCGCCCGCAGATGCTAGGTGCGTGCCTTTCTCTCCCTGCTGCCTCTTTTGTACCCTCAATTTAAAATTCCTTGAAATGTTTTGTAATCATAGGTTCTTAAAAAACCTCTAACAGGATGACCGCTTTCTGGAAATACCTTGAAATTTTTCACCTTCCTGCCACCACCACCCAAAAAACCCCCCAAAAGAAAAAAAATGACAAATTATATGATTATGACTGAAATATTGGACATTGTGATAATCTTTCAATATTTTCTTTTTATAGCCATCTGTGGCACATTCCACTGTCCATTGTCGCTGAGGGAAGAAACTATTCAAAATATCAATTGGTATCATTTCTGGACAAGAAATCAGGTTTGACTTAATTCTTTTCTGCTACGAAATTGGAAAGAACATATTTTTAAAACTCCTGACCAAGCAGCGGAAAGGAGTTCACACTTTGCAGTGTGCACACCCTGTGAGCTGGTGTGCGAGTCCCCTCCACATGGTGTGACTCCCGTGAGATTGCATCTGTGTGTCATGCGTAAGATTGGCTTTCACAGTCGTGTGACATAGGATATGGAAAGTTTCATTGGAAAGTGCCAGCAGTCCTAATAGAAAATAACAAATGCTGTATTTTTGTATCCTAGATAAATACTTTATGTTAGACGGTAAGAAGTAGAGCAGTTTCTTAAAGTATGCTCTGCTGACTGCTTTCTAGGGGTGGGCTGGGGCAATGGCATTTTGACGAGCACTCTTAATGATTCTTATGCCTAATAAAGGTTGATGCATGGCCTAGGTAGATAATTACTACAAAATGTCCTGTAGACACAGTATACATCTTTTGGTAATGAACAAAATGGAACAAGAAATTATGATTGCAAGGAGAAGGGATAGTAAAATGTAGCATACCTACAAGGAGTCTATAAAAGCAATTGAAATGTAGTTTCTGACCATCTGTGCAATACCTCTGTGAATATCACACTATGTATCTTCTTAGTTTGCATCCTGAAAGAACATAATGCTCCTGGGTTCTGCAGGAACCATGGGTGATATCTACATTTCGGGAAAGGGAAAATTTCTTGTTTGAGTTTGGATATGGTGTTCAATCCTGCATTTTTCAGAGTGCGGTGCAGCTTAGTGGTTAAGGCAGCGAATACTGGAGCCAGATTGCCTGGTTCTGTTGTATGATTTTAGGTGAGTTATGTGTCCTCTCCAAGTCTCATCCCTCAGCTGTGGAATGGGGACAGTGGCTGTAGTTACTTCACAGTGTTGTGGTGAGCATAGTTCATTTACATGAAACACCTGGAACCAGACCTGGCATATGTTGTATCCTGGATAAATACTTAACCCTGTAAAAGGGTGAGCTGCTGTTGGTTACTATTTATTATTGGTTATTATTTTAAAATACTTTAAATATCATATAGCCACTCTAGAAAACATCTAGAAAAAGAGCAAATTTTATCACCCTGTCACAACTACTCTCATAATGATTTCTTAGTTATCTCAAAGTATTTTTTACTTCGTTGATGTCATTGTGCACATGTGATTTTTATATCTCATTTTTTAAAAGTTACACATGTAGTGATTGATTTAACCTTCGATTATTATTGAACACTTGATTCACCATATGTCTCTATGAAAAAAAAAGCCTTAATAAAATTTCTGGCTCTTAAATGTTTTCTTTTGTTATTTTTCATAGGAATGCTTCTCAAAATGACAACTGTTACCTTTTTTGATTTAATATATATTTCTAAGTTATGTGTTTCTAAGCTTCTGTTGTGTGATAACAATTTACGATGCCAGTTGAAACATATGAGCGTACCAACTGCACTGCAGTTTAAACTAGAGTGGAGTGTTACAAGGACAATCTCATTATTTAAAAACCCTAAGAACAGTTGATAATGCTTGTTGAAACTAACATAGCTGGAAGTACCGCCTTCTTTAATGAAAACAAAACCGCACACTGTAAGTGGGCCCTGGAAGGATAGTCTCTGACCTAAGGGACAATAAATAATTTGATCTCCCTGTTTGAAAGGAACCAATGAGGATTTTTTGCAAACCCCCTGATAGTCTATAAGTTTTGGGTGGTATTAGAAGTAATTGGATAATAAGATATCTGCTTTTATTAGTCATTTACTTTTTAGCTCATTTTATACATGAGCTTTTTACTCATTGAGGCTCACAGCCCAAAGTCTAGCTCATGTTTTTCTATGAAAACTTTTTTTCTAAACCCTTACCTGGTACCCTGTTTCCACTGCTCAAAATTTGAGCAACTCAAACACACCCCTCCTCCTCTGGTGTCTGGGTGGCTTTTGTTCATGCCGTTTTCTCTCCTGGAAGAACACTGTTGTTGGTCTGCCCCCGCCCCCGCACTCCCCCCCAACCACCACCACCACCACTTCCGTGATTTACTGCTGCTCATTCTTCAGATCTCAGATCACCCATTGCCCGCCCCAGGAAGCCTTCCCTCACCCCACGGCAGGTGAGGTGCCCTGCTTGTGTGCTTTAATAACATTCTCTGCTTCTCTACTTGGGGTACTCTTTCAGTATTCTTTTGCATTGCTCTGTCCTCACATTAGATGTGTCCTCTGCTGAAGGTAGATGTCATGGCTATATGAATCACTTTCACAACCTTAGCACCAAGTAGGTGCAAGAACAGTTATTGAATAAATAAATATTGTCTGTAATGAAGTGACTCAGTCGCAAATCTCATTGTAAAAAGTTCCAGGAAAAGAGCATTCAAAGCCTGACGAAATGGTGTCTTCTGTTCCCTTTCATTTCAGAGTACTCTTAGTTAAGGAGAATATGCACAGTGCACTGTGATGTAATCGGTTTAACTTGGAACTGGAACTGAGCCACTGTGTGATGAAAGCAGTGACCGTTAGTGCCTGTCCTCAGCTGTGTCACTTCCCTTGCCGCTGCCACTCTTCTCATTCCTGGCAGTCTGAGTTTTGAGAATCCACACTGAACATGTTTTGTCCTCACAAAAGTGATGAACCCTAGGCACAGCTGGCTCTTCTTGGTTCCTGATGCTCCAGTGAGAATCACTCTTTAAGTTTTTGGTTCTCATAAGAAATGTAGCAGAGGCAGTGACCACAGAGGCTTATTTTATGTCATATAACTTTAGTGCAGGGTGTTATCTTGGTAGTTTGTTGAATTATAGCTTATTTCCATGTGTTCTAGGGTTGCTGGGTTAGTCCATTAGTTCAATCAAATATAGGAGTTACATTTGGTTACTATCTGTAACTTTTCCTCACATACATGAATTTTAACCAAGTAAAAGTATGTAAAAGAAGGGCTGAAAGAGACCATTTTTTTCAAGCTACATATTGAGGAAGTTATACAAAAAAAGTGTCTCTCTCTCCCTTTTCTTCTTCCTTTCTCCACCCCTCTGTCTGTCTCAATCCACATTGCACTCAGACCTAAGCTCTTTAACTACAGAACATTTTTATATTGACTCTTAACTTGAAACATTCATGTTTCTGAAAGAATATCACTGTGCCAGAAATATTTCCCTGAAACTAAAAGACATGTCATTGGAGTGAAAGGCAATTGGAAAAAAGAAGAAGGAGGGAAATTGTAGTATTAAGATATTTTTCATGTGCCATTCTCTGCTCTTGCCTTTCTCCCCCTAATAAAATAAAGGGGACGCAAGGGGTGTTGCAGGATGGAGTGCTTTTGAACAACAGTGGGTGCAGTTCAGCTGTATGCCTTGTGCTAGTCCTCTGGAACAAACTACCCAGGAAATTTTTAACTTTGTAGTAAAAACATGATTTTTGTTTCTGTGCTTTAATGTTTCTTTATAAAACAGTAGTTGATTTTCATAACTCACTGACAAATGGCTTTATGAAATCAATATTAGATTACTTCATCTGGGCTTCTGCCATTTAAGATTGGAGTTGCTTACTCTTTTTAAGTACTCAATGGATTGTGAAAACTCAACTGTTAATCTGTTAATGATTATAATAAATCAAAAACACATGAGGGTAGCCTCATCCACATTTGAACTGCAAGGATGTAGTGATGTCCCTTGTGAGCAAAGCCATTACTTTCTGATACCTGTGGTTTTAAGGATCTCTATTCTGGACCATTCAGAAGACCTGAGAGAGACTAATATGTTGACTCTTTAAATGATCACTCTCCTCTCCATGCTGTTGGCTGTACTGCTTTATATTTCTGTCATCGAGATGACAGTAATAATTTCAAGTTCATTCCCAGCTGTGTTTCTGTTCTCTACCATCTGGACTTGGGTAGGTTTATGACACGGCAAGTTGCTTGCTTATCAGCCAAGATACTATGTATTTCAATATTTTCTTGCATCTATCCAGTGGGAAAATGGCCATACTTATCATTTCTTGCCCCCTTTTATGGGAAAGGGAGATTGGGAGCTACTCGGTCCTTCCCAGGGTCCTTTCTTGATAGAAGATCTGTAGGAAAGTGTGTTTGGTGACCTGGAGAGTGTTGATCTTTTTGCATTAGCTAATCATAAAGTTAGTTTCATTAGTCATAGGTTTATTTAAAAGGTCTCCAACTGAGAGCAGAGGAGTCACTGTTCTATCACAGCAACTAAGGAGTAACTGTTGCCATTACAGTTATTCCCTAGGACTGCAATCTACTCCACAAACAGAAACAGACCAGATTAATATTAGTGTTTTTTCTCACCTATTGCTAGATCAGCAATAAAACAGAAATTAGTACGGAATTTTTATTTTTTAATTTAACCTTTACTGTATTTTTCGTCATTACCATTTAGTCCCCTTATAACGCTCTCCCCTCAGCAGTTACCACACTGCTGTCCATGTCCCCGAGTCCTTTTCCCTTTTTGTGCAGTCCCTCCACGCCCTCATCCTCCCCACTAGCTCTCCGAGTCTATCGCCATTCTCCTTTAGTACAGAATTTTTAAATGAAAAACACTTTATCTTATATGCTATGTTAAGACATAATCAGACTATCTTTTTCATTTTTAATATCTTTTGTACTTTCAGTAGAATTAGGGTAAATAAATAGTGTTAAAGCATGTGGTAAGTTTTAATAATTCTTGATTTTGAAGTTGAGAGAACCAGTGACTTCAGATATTCAAGGGTTTAAATGTGTTTCTAAAGTATATGTGCAAAAACCTTCACACAGAAATATTATGATAGTGAAAATTTTAGAACAGTTTAAATGTTTCCAAATAGCAGATTGATTAAACTGTGGTAGATCTTGAAATAGAATATTATAAAGATAGTTGAGCCTTGGCTGGTGTAGCTCAGTGGATTGAGTGTGGGCCTGCAAGCCAAAGGGTCACTGGTTCAATTCCCAGTGAGGGCACATGCCTGGGTTACAGGCCAGGTCCCCAGCAGGGGGCACAGAAGAGGCAACCACACATTGTTGTTCCTCTCCCTCCCTCCCTTCCCCTCATTCTAAAAATAAATAAATTCTTAAAAAAAAACTATATATTTTTTAAAAAGATATTTGAACAGTGCATATGAAGACAATGGGAAAATGGCAGGGAGTAGAATCTGGTAGGTGAAAAGCAGTATAAAAATGCGTGCACATATGTAGCTCTGTTGTATGGAGTATTACATCAACTACCAGTAGATCGTGTATCAGAACAATCTGGGAAGGAAATATACCCCACAGTGCTATTATTGTCTGAGTTTAGATCATTTGTCTTATCTTTCTACTCCTCTTTTTTTATAATTTAAAAATTAGTATTTTTTAAAGTGGGAAAGAAAACTTACATTATATACATTTATAAGCCTTATTTAGATTCTTTGAAGCCATTTACCATGATACAGTTATTTCATCCATTAATTCATCTATTACCCCAAATATTTGTAGCTTAGGGTACATAAAAGTATCTTTTGAGTACTAGTAACATTGTTCTGGGCACTGAGAGAGCAACAGTGAAAAAGATAGTTCATGGAGCAGATATTCTAAAAAACAGGAAACCTTAAGATGCTTAGAAGCATACCCTTAAGAATTATATTAAATTCGTGCCTGTTACCAAATTTAAGAGACATTTCTTGATTAGTAATTTTAAAGATTTTTAATATTCACTATGTATATTTTGTAGTCAGCTTTTGTGGTAATATGTCTTTATAGTCATGTATTTTGTACCTTACTAACTTAAAATTAATTGAAATTATTCCATATAAATTTTTAACAATTCTCTCAGCATTTATATATGTACTGGTAGGGGCCCCAAAAGTGCATATCACTTTTCTATTATTTTAAATCAATTATTTTTTAAAGACTTGATTTATTTTTAGAGAGAGGGGAAGGGAAGGAGAAAGAGAGGTAGAGAAACATCAAAGTATGGTTGCCTCTCACATGTTCCCCACTGGGGATCTGGCCTGCAACCCAGGCACATGCCCCGACTGGGAATCGAACCTATGACCCTTTGTTTCACAGCTTGTGCTTAATCCACTGAGCTCCACCGGCCAGGGTCAATTATTTTTTATTTGTGCCCAGTGAGACAGTAACCCTTCCCTGACATTTTGCTAGCTTTGAATTATGTAACTTTTCTAAATGGCTTTATTTGTTCTTCCTTTGCTAACATGGAGACAAAGGTGGAGATGGAACACATTTTATATAGTTCTCTTACCTGGTATTCCCTCCTGCCCCATGCTACATGCATTGTCCCTTTCTCACTGCTTCTCTCTACCCACTGAACTTGGCAGCTAGTTCAGTACATGGACAGACACTATGTGTACTATCTATCTGGGTCTTGAATACTCTCTACCTGGCTAACATATTTTGAGGTCTCAGCTTAGCTGTCATTTTTTCCAGGAAACCTCTCTTAAGTTTCCCTAGAGGATGAGCATTTCTTCTATGTGGTCCCATAGAATACCATCAATAGCATCTATATGAATTCTGTATATTAGACTATAAGATCTGTGAGAGAAGGGACATAACTACCTTGTTTACCACTAAATAAATAATTGTTAAATGAATGAGTAGTAACCTTTGTTAATGTGAAAATAACTGCACTAAAGGCAGAGATTTGGTTTCTTAATAGAATAATAAAATGTGTATATATAAAATATACCAAATTAACTTTGAAACAAAGCATTCGTTTAATATTTTTTTCTTGCCCTATTCTCCTCCTTTCCTTCTCTCTTTCTCTCTCTTTCTCATTTTTGGTCTGGATTAGATGTCATCAATCTTACAGAAGAAGTGCAATGGATCAAAGTCAATGTAAACATGAGTGGCTATTATATTGTACACTATGCAGATGAGGACTGGGACGCACTCATCAAACAACTGAAAATAAATCCTTATGTCCTAAGTGACAAAGACCGGGCAAACCTCATCAACAACATCTTTCAACTTGCAGGGTACAGTATGCTTGGTTTTGTTTTGTTTGTTTTTTAACAAGTAATACTGAGAAAAAACATTATAGAAAAATAGTTCAAAACAACTAGCATGTATTCCCTGTAAGATATAATTCGTTTTGGAGGAACTGGAAAATGTAAGAAATACTCCATGCCTTCAGGGACTTGGTAATTTATATGGAAATTTAGGTTACAAACATCGAACAGTTAAATAACAAGATATTATTTAAATACTATCTCAAGCATGTAGATGCCAACAAGCACACTCATATTTGCTGAATACAGTGATAGTTCTGGCTTTGTTTTATTCCTTGAGAGAATTCGTTTGAAGCAGCACTTGGTTTAAATGTGATGCTTAGTGCTTACTCACTGGTTTGAGGAACATCTCTGATATCTAGAGCCTCCTTATTGTGTACCACTTGCCTCCCCCTCACCAATGCATTACCGAATCCCAAAGCCAAGAATGGCAGTGACCTTGTGTGTGTAGGTATCTTTGGAATAGGAAGATTACCAATTTAGGTTATTAATGAGTCTAGAGACACATTCCTAATAGTCTAAGGAATATTCAGAAGTGTTCCATCTGACTATTCTTGACCTTCCTATCTAGGTTCGCTTTTTAATGAAATTACCTTTTATCATCTCAGTCATCATTGTTATGATTTCTATAAAATGGTTATTTTAAAAACATACTCACAGTAAATTCATTGTTATGATTTTTATTAAATGGTTATTTTTAAAACATACTCACAATAAATTCACAGCAGACCTCACTTTAACAAGTTTGACAAGCAAATTCCCATATAAACAAATAATTTTTTTTGTGATTCAAATTTTTTTATGCTACCTGTTCTCACCTGGTAAATATAAGTAATTTAAAAAATAATGAAAATTAGTACTTTTCATCTTTTATTACCTAAGATATTGTAATACTTTACCTGAGTCAGTAGCCATTCACAGGTGACATAGAATAAAAATGGAGCAATTGTTTATCTTTTTTCTGAAATGTACCTTTAACCTTGGGTCACACACATGAACTTAATTAAAGGTAATAATATTTAGTCAAACTTTACAGAATGACACTCTAAGCTTAAATTTTAGGTTTTCAAGACTCACCATCTGGCCATTAAATTTCTCTCTCAGCATGCATAGAGTTCATCTGCTTTTCTCAGCATGTTTACTTTTTCTGTTTTTTTACCCTTTAGCCTAGGCAAAGTGCCTCTTCGGAGGGCTTTTGATTTGATTGGTTATCTTGGAAATGAGACCTCTACTGCACCCATCACTGAAGCCCTGTTGCAGACAGGCCTCATCTATGACCTCCTTGAAAAACTGGGATGTTTGGATCTGGCCTCGAGAGTGGTGGTGAGTCTGTCTTTTGCCAGCTTCTCTTTGTTACTTGCTTTTAATATGGTCATTCATAATTTCGTTCAGTAATAGGCTGAAAAAGCAGCCAGTTAAATTCCATTTTCTTTACTTTTCTAGAAATTTTTATTTTGAATTAAAACGTCGTTGCTTACCATGAAGAGCTGATAAAGGCTTAGCATAATGTGGTCTCATCTGAATATCAAAATATAGATTTATACTACTATCACATGAAAAGTTTTCTAGTTAAGCCCTGGCTGGTGTAGCTCAGTGGACTGAGCACGGGCCTGGGAACCAAGCAACCACAGTTCGATTCCCAGTCAGGGCACATGCCTGGGTTGCAGGCCAGTTCCCAGCATGGGACCCATGAGAGGCAACCAAACATTGATGTTTCTCTCCCTCTCTCCTTCCCTTCCCCTCTGAAGATAAATAAATAAAATTTTAAAAAAAAAGAAAAGTTTTCTATTTAAATCCTGGTTTATTTTTATATAATAAATGCTTTAAACGGGCCTTTTTGCAAAGTAGTTCTTCCTGTTAATATTTTCAGGGGTCAATATAAAATGACAGCCATGTTTGTATTTAAAAAATTGTTTAGGAGTTCTTACTGATAGTCTATCTTATGGATACCAATGGCTGTGGGTCTGTTTCTCAGCAAGGCAGTGAGGGAGGCTTTGTAGTGGAGATTGTTTTACCTTTATTAAAGGCAGTTGCTTGATCTTACTAAGTTAACAACTATTTCTAGACTGCTTTCAGTGTTAAACTATCGACTGAGTCATTAAAAGCTTGGGAGGAGCGTTGAATCCTTTGTGTTATCCAATTCTCTGAATCTGCCCATTATGACAACAGGGTTTGCTTTATAAACTAGTCAGGTTTTCCAGAGACCAAGCAAAAGACAGTTTACAGGAAAAGGAAGTATTAGACCAGGAATTAGAAAAGCCTTTTAGAGTTTTGGTGTCCACACTGGTACAAGGAAGGGGTTGGATTATGTAGCTTTTTTTAACCATCTTTTTTCTGCCACTCTTACTGTGCATCCTACCCTGCATCCCATGTGATAAAGTCTTAACACAACACCAGCATGATTCTCAGTGGGGAAGGGGATGTGGGAGAGCCATATGGTGCCTGAAAAGCACCCTTCCTCCCAAGTTTCTGATCTGACCCTGCGGGAGCCGCCCCGATCCTACCCACAGTGAGATGCTTAAGTTAGAAGATTTCTGAGGTCTCTTCTCATTGATGGGTTTTAATCGTTCTTCTATTTTCACAAGGCTTTAACTCCCAGCCTTAATAAAAACCAGCACCAGAAACAAGTACATGTCCGTGTTCATTATGTTCTGTACACCATCCTTAGTGCTTAATGATGATCACCCTGTTTAATGCGCACACAATTCTTACTAGATATTTCTTCTCTCATTACATATATGAGGAGACTAAATAACTTCCCCAAGTCACTTACCCAGTTGATTATAAAGCTGAGATTCAAACCCACATTTGTTTCACTTCAAAGCCTTTTCTTTGTGCTGTGTTACTATATTTTAAGCTAATTCGTGTTCTAACAATGTCATCTTTACAATAATACTTTTTTGTTGGAAAAATCAAAGGCTTTTCTTTCTTGCTATCATTTTTTCTTTTTTAAAACTGAAAAATTTTTTAAATTAAAAAGGCTTGAAAAGCTTATAGACTATGTGTTAAAGGTTTAAAATCACAGACCCACCTCTAGTTACTTACTTGGAAATGAAGTTATCAACTTACTACATGAGGTTTCTTTTATATCTAAAATGTTAGCAACAGTGTTTCTTAGAGTATTGATGTACATTTCCAAGAAGTATGCAAATAACTTATTGGTCTCTTTAGGGCAAACTTAGAATCCACTGTAGACTTTCTACTGATAGTATATTAAAGAAATTGGCCATTTCTTAGTTTAGCTACTGTAGATAGACATTTGGGTTATTTGGAGTTTGGAGCCATTATAAATAGTGTTGCTGTAAATATTCTTATATATGTCTTTGGTGAATTTCTATAAGATACGTGTCTGGGAGTGGAATTTCTGAGTCATTACATGTGCATCATTAATACTGTACTACCAAATCGTTTTTCAAAGTTATATCACTTTAATACTCCATTAGCTGTGTTTGAGAATTCGAGTTCTGTTCTGGATCTACTTTTTGCCAGCACTTAGTATTAATAGCAAACCTTTTTTCTTTTAGCTATTTTAATGTGCATATCATAGTATTGCAAGTTTGGCTTTAATTTGCACTTCCCTAAAGTGAAGATGAATTCCTTTTTGATATGTTTATTGACCATTAGGCGTTTTCTTTTGAACCCAAGTCTTTCAGTGTTGGCCTTTTTTTTATTGATTTGTAACAGTTCCTTATATATTCTATATTCGAGTCCTTTGTTGATTATGTATATTTACAAATATCTTGTCCTACTCCAGCTTGCTTTTTTACTCTTAATGATTTTTAAATTAGCCTAAATTCTTAGTTTTAAGGTCTGAAATCCATTTGGCTGAAGATATTCTCTTGATAAAAATCAGTTTTCTTTGAAAACTATTGTTTTATCTTTTATATTTAGATTTATGATCCCTCTGAAATTGATTTTTTATATGTGGTGTGAGATAGGCATAAATATTCATTTATTTTCAATATAGATATCTAATTGATCCTACACCAGTATACATCACTATATACATATTTGTGTACTTTGGGGGTTATTAGCACCATATCAAATCAATATGGGGTAGCATATTATTTTCCTATGGACTCCACAATAAATTATTACAAACGTGATGTCTTAAAATAACAGAACTTTATTCTTTTACAGTTCTGGAAGCCTTATATTAAGGTGTTGTTGGGGTTGGGTTGGTTTCTCCTATAGGAAAATCTGCCCCATGTGTCTCCCTTGGCTTCAGGGGGTTGCTAGCACTCCTTGGCATTCCCTGGTTTATAGTTGCATTACTTTAGCCTCTGCCTCCGTCGTCACCTGGCATTCTTCCCATGTGTCTTTGTCCAAGTTTCTTCTTATAAGGGCACTAGTCATTGGATTTGGACCCTCCATAACCCAGTATGACCTCATCTTCTTGTTTACATCTGCAAAAGTCCTATTTCCAAATAAGGTCATATTCAAATAAGGTTCCAGTCAGACATGAATTTGTGGGGGGATATTATTCAATCCAGTACAGGTGGCAATATTAGTATATATCATTCACTCCAGTAATAAGGAACAGTGTTGGTACTGAATATGCCCTGAGGGAGGCAGAATATCTGTCTCCTCTGAAGCTCCACGGCTACTTAAATTTCGCAGTGGCAGAAGCCACTCTACCTCCACCTTTCTCTATTCACTGTGTTGAGTTCCAGTGTCAGGAAGCACTCGGTAACATACCTCAAGCTATCCCTGTGCCCGGAATATAGAGGCAAAACACAATTTGAGGAGTTAAACCTTTTGAATATTTTCCTACTATGGCACACCAGTAACTCTGCATATTCATTTCAGGTGCTGATTTCCAGTTGCCTGGGCAGGGATGTGTTTATTAAGAACGTACTTCAGGGTGAGGTCCAGGGGCATGGCGGTTAGATGGCAAGTATGGAGGCTGACAGGAGGCTTGGTATGTGATGGAAGAACACAGGTCCTTTTACTGCTGGAGACCCTCATACACTTGATTGTTAGTTAAAAGTCAGCCTAGCTTCAGTGCACCAAGGGTGAAAAGTTGTCTCTTTAAAATTCTAATTTTAGGACATTTTGGTAGCATTGAAACTCTCAAAATATAATGTTTGACCTACTATAGTTGGAAATTGGAATGGTAGACATTTCTGAGTCCTTGGATCTAATCTTCAAATAGTATTTGTAATTAAGACTGGTGTCTAATTTTTTATGCCAAGGGTGTCAAACTCATTTTCACCAGGGGCCACATCAGCCTTGAGGTTGCCTTCAAAGGACCAAAAGTAATTTTAGGACTGTGTAAATGTAACTACTCCTTAACTGTTAAGCAAGAGCTCGGCACTGCCGCTGGGTAGAAACAAGGTGCTTGGGCCGGATAAAACAAGGTGGAGGGCGGGATTTGGCCCTCGGGCCTTGTGTTCGCCACTCGTGCTTTCTGCCATTGTCACCAGAGCAGTGTGTATATTTATTGGTCATCCTGTTGTATCGGCTGCGTGTACCTACACAACACACACCGGTGTGTCACATTTTGATGCTGTGGTGTGTGGTGGGTAAGGGTCTGGAGGCACATTTGAGTTGTGTTATATTGTTCACGTATGGTATTAGCATCTGACCCAAGCCATATTCCTGTCTCATGACTTGTAAGTCTGTCCTTCTTTTACATATGAGGGGTTGGTGGGACAAGTCTTCTGCAATAAAAGCTGACACTTCACATTTAAGAAGCTCAGTTGACCCAAGAAAGAACTCCCTGGGCACATTGCTTCCGAAGTAAAGCAGGAAATCAAGTGTGACACATCAGTGCCAGCCTCTTTTCGTGTTTTGCTTTTAAAATCACTTTATGTTTGTCGTTGCATTTTGCTGCATATCCAGTGTTTGTAGCTTATGTGACCCTATTTGAATGTCACAGCAGGAAAAGATTCAAAAGGTTTAACTCCTTGAATTGTGTTTAGCATCTATATATTTCCTCTCCTCACTTGCCATTTTGACTTTATGAAATCAGAGGATGAGATTCTATTGTTCAGTGAGTGTAAATTTCAAAAATTAATTTAGACCCATGGAAAAAAATAAATTTAATTTTTATTTGTAAAAGGCAAAGGTGATTTGATGTCCTTGCTATGGTTTATTAGTATTAAAAATATAACCTGGATTACTTATAAAATGATATTTTATATCTGCAGGCATTTTCTTAATAATTATTTTTTAAGTAAAATACTTTATTATATTATCATTTGAAATATATTAAAAATCAACTATTTTGGGATTTCCTCTTGACTGTTCGGTGTGCAGGGAATAACTAGTGAAGTTTGACCCTATAATTGCAGTGTAGTCCCAAGCCTTAGCATCTTCAAACATCAGGTTCCTCTTGCCAGGTTCAAGTACTTTGAAGGGCCTTTTCTCTCTTTCTTTCTTTCTTTTTTTGTACTGACCTCTTTATGTTTTAGTTCATTCTAAAGGAGCATTGCCACTTTTCTCCACTGAACTTTTTAAAATAGTATTTCAAGCGTGTGACCTTTTTTTCTCTCATCCTCTCTTGTTTATGTTTGACAGTTATGAGTAGCTTTTAAATTTCTTGTATGCTTCACTCATTTGGGATGGTTTGCTGTTGTGATGCCGTTAAGGAAGTCGGGCCAGTGGAGACAGCGTGCACCAGAGCAGTCATGTGTGTGCGATAGGACCTCCTGCGTTGCTTTATGCTCCTTGCACTGTCGATCAGCATGGCCACTGTTTTTCCACTTGACATCCTCCCAACGACTCATGAGCTTACTCTCACGTCCCACAAGGCGTCTGTTCTCTATTTTATTTCTTTTGAAGCAAACAAACAAAAGTGAGTTGACCTGTCATCACAAACTTTGAGTCATCCTTGCACAGATTTTTTTCCCATTCTCATGGTCAGATCCATGAGATTTATTCAGAGAAGGTCTTCTGAGAAAATGGCTTCACAGTTTAAAAGTCTCTGACCAGTATTCGTTTTAGGCATCAACAGTGGTACCCTGTAAGAATGTAATACTCTGTGAAGAACTTGAACTGATTTTTCCGGAGTTGGGAGTTTTCGTGTGTGTCCATCTGTGGCACCTGGCTGCTCGAGATGAGACCTGCTAAGGGTGATGCTGTGGAAGAAGTGCCAGTGGGAAGAAACGCCCCTGTGCCGAGAACCCCGCGGGCGGCTGTGCTGTAATGTTTTTTCATTCCGATTCTCCTTATAACCATGAAGTTTTTCTAAAACATACCTACAAGCATTTTCATTTAAAAAATTTTGTTCCTTTTAGTGGCATTCACAAATGCGTTTTTTATGTGATATATATTTTTTTTTAGATCCAATGTGTCCTTACCCCTTCCCATGCTCCACAGCTGGCAATATGGAAATACTTCCATATCCTATTAACAGCTTTTACACTTTTGTTGTGAGGAGAGATGAAAAAGAAATAAGATATTTGTTGATTTCTTAATACCATAAGTATACATTTAAGAATGACATCTTATTCAGAAGTAGCTATAACAATGGACTAAACAGTAGATGATATTACTGAATATCTGTTAATTTCTTTAAGCGCAATGAGGTATTATGGTTATATAAGAGAATGTCCTTATTTCTGGGAGTTGTGTGTTAAAGTATTTATAATGAAATATCATGATATCTGTAACTTACTTTCATATAGTTCAGCTAAAACCATTAAAAAGTATGTGTATATGCACATATAGAAACAAAGTAAATGTAAGAATATTAAAAAACAGTGAACTAGCATGTGGGTGTACATTGTTCTATTCTTGTAGCTTTTCTGTATGTTCAGAATGTTTAAATAACAAGCTGGGGGGAGAAGAAATAACTATAAATGACTATAAATGCGTGTAGTCTTTATTTCCTCACTAATTAATTTGTTATAGCATCAAACTAGTTGATATTTTAAATATTTCTTTAATATTTGATTTAGAAACATTTAAACACCTACTCCTGAGTGAAGAACTTTATTTTTCTCTCACTGCTGTTTGGATTTATGGATTCTAAAGTCATGAGGTCAGGAAGTTCCAACTTTCTTCTAGGATGATGCTTTGGGGCAGGAAAACAACTTCTAGCTGAGTACACACAGAAGAAAGGTCCCCCGCTGCACAGAAGTCATTAATTCTTTCTGTGTCATGTCATTAAAAGTCTCTCTTGGCTATAGCAGCTTTTCGTAGAACCTTTGTATTGAATGGTTCATCCCAGCTGTATGTGGGCAGTTGATATTCAATGAGTAATATCTTATCACCTTTCCCTTTTCTCTCCTTTGGTAAATGCTGGGAAAGAGATCTAGTTTTCCTGATTTTTCTGGTTGTCCTAATTATTATTCCATTATTATCCATTTTATCTGTCTAGACCAGGGTATTTGAGTTGCTGCAAAACCAAATTGAAAAGCAAACTTGGAGCGATGAGGGCAGCACGTCTGTTCGAGAGCTGCGGTCAGCCCTGCTGGAATTCGCTTGCACCCACAGCCTGGGGAACTGCAGCACTGTCGCCCAGAAGCTATTTGATGATTGGGTGGCATCCAACGGAACTCAAAGGTGATGCGTGCTTCTACTCAGACAGACTCTCTTCTTCTTCATTTCACATCACGTACTGAAACCAGGGTCTCCTCTTCCTGGATCAGAAATGTTATAAAACTGAGTGCTAATGTATGTGAACTCTATGTGCTTATATTCTCAAATAAGATTTTAAAAAATGTGGTAAAATACAGATAACATAAATTTATTATCTTAACAATTTTAAGTGTTCAATTCAGTAGTATAAGTATATTCACATTATTGCTCAACAAATCTCCAGAACGTTATCTTGCAAAACTGAAATTTTTTACCCAAACAATTTCCCATCAATCCCCTCTCTCCATCCCCTGGAAACTACCATTCTACTTTCTATTTTATTAATCTGTCCACCCTAAATACTTTATATATGTGCAATCATATAGTATTTGTCTTTCCTCGACTAGCTTCTTTCACTTAACAAAATATTCTCAAGGTTCATCCACATTGTAGTGCGTGTCAGAGTTTTCTTTTTTTTTAAGGCAGAATAGTCAGTCCATTGTATGCAGTATACACCATGTTTTGCATATTCATTCATCTGATAGACATTTGGGTGCTTCCACCTTATGGCTTTTATGAATAATGCTGCTGTGAACGTGGGTGTACAGATATCTTTTTGAAAGCCTTCCTTGAGTTATTCAGACATAAACTAGAAGTGGGAGTTGCTGGATCATGTGTAGTTGTTTTTAGTTTTTTCAGGTGCTGCCACACTGTTTCCCACAGCGCCTGCACCATTGTACATTCCCACCAGCAGCACACAAGGCTTCCTTCCAATTTCTCCAACACTTGTTATTTTCTGGGTTTTTTTATATCAGCCATCCTAATGGGTATGAGGTATCAAAAAGTCTCTTTTAATTTAGGAATAAAACAGAGCAAGTGAAGTTAGCAATAAGTAGAAATATTTTGATGAAGTTTGGTTCTTTCTAGGTTCCCTATGGGGCATTATGGAAAAGGATTCAAGCATCAGATAAAGTGATCATAATCATGGCAGGAAACCGTGCTTCTTCCCCTCTTCTCATCCCTCTCTTTATATTTCTACTATGGCACCTACCACACTACATTATAATGTACCTATTTCCTGTTCTGTATTTGTGATAGCCTGTGAGTTCACAGAGGCAGAGACTGTCTCTTTCTTCTCTCTGTCACCCAGCTAATTGCCTGCCTGCTTCTTTGTGGATGCTCAGTGAATAATTGTTGTGTTAAATTGAATCGATATTCCTCACAGTCCCACCAACTAGGAAAATAGCAGCCACTCAAGTAATCATTTTCTTCACTATTAGTTAGTTGCAAAATACTCTTCCACTGTGTTGCTCTGCTCCAGTCCCAGAAACATTACCACTAGTCATTTCCTCACCTTTATATTCACAGGTTTTACTTGTTCTCATATTTGACCACCTCTCTTACAGCCTACCTACTGATGTCATGACTGCTGTGTTCAAAGTTGGAGCAAAAACTGAGACAGGCTGGCACTTCCTCTTAAGCAAGTATGTCTCTATAGGCTCTGAAGCAGAGAAGACTAAAATACTTGAAGCTCTTGCCAGCTCAGAGGACATACGGAAACTTCACTGGTATGAAACCACCCAAGGAATATGACATATAGAAACCAAAAGCATAACAGTGTTGTGCTCCAAGGGTGGGGAGCTCATTTCTCTGGCATCTTCCTTTTTCTCCCTGTACTCACAGGCCACCTTCATGTGGATTTGTGAGACATTTCCTTTTGCATATTCAGCTGATGAGGACTTGCGAATGGGAGTTTCCCATGGGGAGAGAAGGGCAGTGAGCGGGGCCTCATGACAGGAAGGACAGTCGGTGGCAGGGTAGAGGAGCTCTGGGAGCCAAGGGAGATAGGAAAGTACCTTGAGAGTGAGCACTGGGAAGGATAGAGGGAGGCGTTTGGTGTCATTGCTTCTCTGGTATACTTTTGCCCAGATAATTCTAGTAGAGTCCCAGAGATGTCCTCAGCACCTGCCCAGGCCTGCCTTCCAAAGGATGCCCTGTAAATAATCATTTTCTTTAAGGTAGCAAGGAGCCCCAGACCCAAGCAAATGGAGAGAAATTTTTGTGTTAAGTTAGTAATTTGATTTCAACTGATAACAGCCTAACAAGTTCCCATTATAAAGTATTTAAACCATACCTAAGAAAATGGAATAAAATGTGGAAGTATTTCTCCTATGATCCTTTACTTCCATTCTTATTCTCTCTGTTAACAGTGTCAATCCTGGTCTGTATATTTATATAACAACATAGGTTTATATTATACCCAGGGTTTTGTGACTGTCCTTTCAGTGAATTGGATCAGTCTTTAAGATTTGCCATGTCAGTTCATAAAGCCTACTTCATTTGTTTTTCTGGCTGCATAGTATTCCTTCATAATAAATTCTATCAGAATTTATCAAACCCATCACGTCATGATGAGCACTTGGGATTTTCTTCATATTAGAAATGTTGCTGCATTCTTTTGGGAATATGTGTTTTCCCACCATACACAGATTTAATAGCTCAGTAGATGAGAACTGCTTATGTTTAAATGTGCTTTAGTACTTATTAGCAGTGTAACCTGGGCAGTTACTGACCTCCCCAGTTTCTTAAACTGTAAAGGAAGGGTAGGTAATAATAATAACTACCTATTTTAAACATTGTTGTGTCTATAATTTAGAACATTACCTAGCACATATGAAGTACCAATAAATAATAATATCCTGAAGTATACCTTTATTTTATCATTATTTAAACACTCAGTTTTTAAGAGTAATAATATACCTGCCTACTCAAATCAAATAAGATTTTTAACAGAAAAAAATTAGTCTTCAGAATTATAAACTCTACCAGAATTTATTTCTCAAATTCCTTACTATGTCAAGAACTATTTATTATTATGTCAGAGCATTTTGAGGTACTTATTGCTGAGTTCTTACTTCATTTTTAAAAAATGACATTTTCAATCTATTGCTCAATCTTAGACTAACCCAAAATTTGTATCCCTTGAATTGCTACAGAGCTTTAATTAGGAGACCAGTACTAATTATAAGTTTAGTCATCACTTCATCATGAATAATTATTTTAGAAGCTAAGTCTGCTTTGCTTTTCAGGTTAATGAAAACCAGCCTCAGTGGGGATACCGTCCGAACGCAAGAGCTGTCATTTATCATTAGAACAGTGGGCCGAAGCTTTTCTGGAAACTTACTGGCGTGGGATTTTGTCAAAGAGAACTGGGATAAGCTTGTACAGAAGTAAGTTCCTCAGAGAATTACTAGCTTTTAGTGTTTTTAGACTCTGCATTTGAAAAACATACCTGATATGGTATTGGTTCATAGTAGTGATGATTTACTTTGAGAAGAAAAATGCTGCAGTGACATTTAACTGAAACACTCAGAGATTTTCACATATGTAAACATAACTCCATAATGTAAGTCACATAACTGGTGTTCCAGTTGAGTACTAATCAAGCCTAACTGCCTGGCTGCAGGTCACTTAGTTTAGCATGGCCATGGGCTTTTTCAGAATAGCCATTTACTTCTGTGTGTTGAACAATGCCTCTTCATTGCCAAGGGATCAGTTAAGAACTCACACCCAGGTAGAGAGTACATGAAGGGTTTTTTCTTTTAAACAATAATTACATTTCTGCATGTTTGATGTGATTTTTTAGTAGATCAAATGGATTAATAACTTATGTCCATATCCCTAACTCTTGCCTTTTCCCTCCCACCGCTCCTTACCACTGGCAGTAAGTGCATGCAGAACTCCTGCTACTGAGCTGCAGCTCCTAGCAGCGGGACTCTGCTCTGCCTTTGGAATGTGTAGCTTACAGCAATGCATTTTCTCTGCAGTCAGGAACATAGCTTACCAACAGCTGCTTCTTCTTTTTTTTTTGCTCTTTTTGCTTTGTATTTGTGTTTCTCCAGGTTCCATCTGGGTTCCTATACCATACAAACTATTGTTGCTGGATCAACTCACCTGTTTTCAACAAAGGCACATTTGTCGGAGGTTGGTTGTATAAAATGCTAGTAAGGGAGGTGGGGTATCCCTTTCCTCTCAGGCTGCTCAGTTTAAGACAGGAGGTGGCTTTTCCTGCCCCTCCTCTGCCTCGTTCAATGTTAAGGATTCTGCACTGGGATTACTTCTAAAGGGTGGACGTATAGCAATGAGCAAAAATTGTGATGAGTATAAATTCTGATTCCATTCTCAATTAATACCCTCTTGTCTTCCTGGTACAAGTATTTTTTAAATTAAAGCCAGTACATGCCAAGTTTATTTTTAAGTGGTAATGGAATAGTTTTAAAGAATGTCACTCCAAGGGTAAAATTGGGCACCAAGCCTAGCTTTAGAGTCTATCTCATTTGCTGTTACTTGGCCATTTTATTATTTTTAATTTAAAAAATTAATCCTTGTGGGAGTAAGGAGAATGCATTTTTTAAATTACTTCAGATTTCATCATACTTGATCAGTAACTTAATATAAATACCTTGGATATTAAAGTACTTCTCTCTACTTCTTTTAGGATATCAGCAAAGCTATCACTAAATGAAAGTTTATTTGAAAAGGCTAGTCCCAGTTACCTGAGGTTTGTTGTTATTTTCTTCTATTGATACATTTCTCTGCAACTCACAGGTCCAGGCGTTCTTTGAAAAGCAGCCAGAGGCAACCTCTCGGCTTCGTTGTGTCCAGGAAGCTTTGGAAGTCATTCAGTTGAATATCCAGTGGATGGAGAAGAACCTTGAAACTCTGACGTGGTGGCTGTAGCATGCGAACTGCGCTCATTTTGTCGCCCCTCAGAGAGCTTGTTAACCTGGGCTCTGTTAACTTTTGCAAAACCCAACGCGAAGCCAAGGATTGCTGCTGAGTTGTTTGCACTCTTAGGAGTTCTAGTTAGCTCAGGGCCCATCTGTATTTTTCATCAGTCTTTCCTGAAATGTCATTGGGTAGTATGTAGTTATTTATTACAAAATTATATTCACCTATATGCCAATCATCTACAAAAACAATGATTAATTTTTCTACTTTGAAGATACACAAATGAGGAATAAAATCTGTTTTGGAATTCTATCCTATTTCTCGGTATCTGTAAAGTACTGACCCAGTGAACAAGGAAAAATCTACTATGGGAGCCACCGTCTGTGCAGGCTGCTGGTTTGTGAGCCATTTGTTGCTTTTTATTGATAGATACTATTTGAATGTGGTAACAGCTTTAAAAAGTAACCAATTATAGAGAACTGATGAAATCAATGAAGCATGCAACTATAGAGAACTAATCTCAGGTGTGCAGATCTACTTTGATTTGGGGTTTTCATTAATCCTTTATTTCCTGGAAATTTTTAAAATAAGATCTGTAACTATTATATTTTTTTCTGCAGAATAGCCAGGTGCTACAGAATTTTTAAATTTTTGTTATATTGTGAAGCTAAATAAATAACAAGGCCAAAAGATTAAATTTTCCCAATATATAACACTTTCTTTTTCAGCTTTTAGGAAAATGTTTCAAACTAAGTTAGCTTTAATTATAATTATTTTATTCATACATTTCAATATTTCCACAGTTATGGTGAGCATTTTGTTACTACTGGTATCTTTCATCATGACTTTATTGCTGTTACTAAGAATACAGGTTGTTTTAGTTGCCATTTGGCATGATAGACTACAGACACTTTCTCTCTGAATCATACTCATAGATGGATTTTCATTTTATATAATAGAGTAGCACATTAGAAGCATTTTAAAGCAGGGCCTTTAAAAAATTGAACATTTTTATTTGAAGTTCACTATAGTACCTTAAAGGAATAAAGAGAATGTGAGATAGAAGTACTTTGATTCAGGCTTTGAATTTTTTCTACTCTCAAATACAGTACTTTTCTTTAGTTGAAAAGTCATAGTTTTATTTTATCATGGCCAAACTAACAGACTAAAAGGAATGGCCAAGGGAGGGAGAGAAGGGAAAGGAAGGGAAGGGAAGGGAAGGAAAAGGAAAAGGAAAAAGAAAAGGAAAAGGAGAAAGAAATCCAAAACTGTATGGCATTTTTATTCCTTCTAAAGGGGAAATACTGTACTTGAATTTATTGAGCTGTGCAGACTTATACCTAAATTGTTGTGTTTCTTTGATTCTTAGGAGAAAAGCTTTCTTCCTAATAATTCTTATGCTTTATGTTTTGTTCCACAACATCTTCTATGTACAAAAAAGAGTAACTGCTCATTTGCAAACACTTAAAAACACTCCACAGAATCAGACTATGGGAAAGGTCAGCTTTTTTATTCTGCAAGTGTAAAGTGAAAATATGTGGGATTGTGTATAAAATTATATTTTATTTTATAAAAATATTTTTATATAACAAAATTTAAGCAGCTGGCAGACTAAAAAAATAGCCTTCTTTATGCCTAGTATGATTTTTCCCAATTTTATCTTTTCTAAACATTTATCTTTCTATTTTAGAGTAGGAAATATTATATCCTGAGAATCATGGAATCACTTAAAGTATCTTATTGAAACTGGGGTCATTATAGGTCTTTATTCCTTTTGTGCTTCAGTAAATGAATGATAATTTAGTTGATAATGGCAGTTAGTGAGTTTTTATATTTTTAGAGTGGGGAAAATAATAAACTTTTGAGGGATATTTTTTGTTGCTGGTTTTTACCATACTATATTACTGAATTCCACTTTGATACAGAGTTTAAATTTTGCTACTTCTCAAAATCAGTTAAGATACTTCAGTTTTAATTCCCCATCTTTACATTGCTCCTGTGATATGTTAACTGTGCAAATGGAAAATCTTGTCTTGAATTATAGCATTTTTTCATGTGTGTGTGTGTGTGTGTGTGTGTGTGTGTGTGTGTGTGTGTGTGTATGTGTTAGGGGGTATTATTATAAATAAAACCTATCTACACTTTGGCTAAAAAAGAGTTAACTCGTAACCCACTGCTATCTTTGTACTCAAAAGCCATTCATTCTCATGAGACTGGATCCATACTCTTTGTAGTTTTGTTTGTGAGCCTCACTTCAGATTATCTGCACTTCAGTAAGTCTCACCTCAAATTTTCTCACAGAATTCCATAGTTTTTAATGTTCTACTAATCCATTATATGACACTTCTAAAAACCTAAGTGAGAAATATAAGGTTAAGTATTAGATAAAACATGTAGTAATAAGTTTAATTGTAGCTTTTGAAGATTTTTTCCCCCAAAACTTTGTCTTAGCCACTGTATTTCTGAGACTTCATGTAGTCTAAAACACAGCAGCCAGTCACAGTCTGCTTTTTATATGAGCATGTAGGTCCATGACACGATTAAGTATTTGACAAGTATTACATCATTGCAGAGAGACAGTGTACTTGAATGTAATATAAAAGACATATCACAGTAGATCCTTAGGAAGTGTGGAATAGGAAATCTGGAATTGTGGGACACAAGCTTATGCTTTGGAGATCTTAAAGACCATATGAAAGTAGGAATCTAAGGAGTCCAGTTTGTTCTGTTAATATCAAGTGATTGGATATAGTAAACTGCAAAGAGTGTCCACCTCCATCTTAATTTTTTATATAAATCTAATGAAGAAATCATGTTCTTTGCTGTTGCTTCAGTGTTCATGAACTTTCCTATGGTCACAGGTTCCACTTAATTCTAATATTCTTTGCCATTCATTTTCTTCATTTAATTGTACTTTAGCCATTGTAGGCAAAAAGAGCTGGCAGAAGAGCCCTGGGTATGTAGAGGATGTCTGCTGCATCCATCTTACTGGGTACAGAATAGGATCATTTCTGAATATGGGAAATTAAGTTGAGTGTGTCATGAAGGATTAGCCTGGTACCAAGTTAGATTTTAAAAGAGTCTACTCAGACAAGCACCTGGAATCATAATCTGCATTCAGATTGCTGAATGTTCACGTTTCCCTTGAGTTTCTTGGGGCTGCAGAAAAGGTGCGTATTATCACCAAGGATGGCAGTTCCTGGGCTGAGTTTACAAACCAAGACCTGAATTTTCCGAGTATGATGGAGCTCTTCTTCTCCCCTTGCCATTGTTTTCATCGGAATTAACTCTCTTTTTAAAGAGCTTCCTCCTACCCCCATTTGTGTTTTTAAAAAATAATGTATATAATTTTGCTGCTTTTTGCATTCTTTTATTTTGTGCTTCATTCTCTCTCTGCACTGGCAAGTAAGTACCAATGAAAAGCGTAGGTCCAAAAGTATGATAAATCTCCTCTTCTCCTTTTCCCTTATTGCCAGCACGGGCAATATCTAGTAGAATAGTTGGTTGATTTCGTTCAGTGATTATTTGGGGGTATATACTTTAGAAATGTACATAAGGTTTTTGATGTGTTTTTATATTCTTCCATTTTGTATATTTTTCCTGATGAACAGTGAAATATTGTTCACAACAATTTCTTCTGCCTTCCCCTATTGTCTGTGTGAGCAACAGCTATAGAGGCTCTTATTTTCTTTTTTGGAAGGAGGTCGTGGTATTGAGAGGAGAGCAGAGTATGTTCTTTGAAAAATGTGTATAAGTGTTTTCGCTGCTTTTTTGTGGATGTTGTTTTATTTTTGTATTTTATTCATCATTCATGGACATGTGGATACCTAGTGAACCGTGGAGGTCTACGAGTATGACAAATGTCCCATTTACCGTCCTCTTTGTTGCCTGCTTGGACAGTACCCAACAGGGTAGTTGTTGCTGTCATTTGGACCCAGTCTTACGGGCAGGGGGAGATCTGTATCATTCTTTCTAGTGTACATAAATGTTACACTGCTTATTTATATTTTATTGTGTATGTGTTCTTTTGCATGTGTGCATAAGTACTTAATGAAAATTGACATCCAGAGAATGACAGATTTTCTCTTTTCCTTATTGCTTCTTTGGACAATAGTTAATAGAATAGTTTGTTTTGTTTTGTGGTATAGGAGAGAATGGAGTATGTACTTAATGTATATAAATAAATTTTCTACTGCTGTGTATTGCTAATACATTTTATACTGTGTCCTTCTCATAGGATGTTTAAGTACCTAATGAGACATGGAGGTCCGGATGTATGACAGTCTCCTCTGGTCCCCTTCCCTTATTGCCTGTGCGGGCAATGGGTAGTAGTGTAGTTATTGGGGTGGGTTGGGGGGGGGGGCGGTCAGGGACAGGCAGGAAGGGATGTGTACTTACTATATATACCTGCTTTTACTACTGTGTTGTATTATTTCACTGGGTGCCCAGACTGGAAGGTACCTAATGAAACCCGGAGGTCTGGATATATAACAATCCCCTCTTCTCCCCTTCCCTAATTGCCAGAGTAGGCAGTAGCTGTGAGACCACTTGAATACGTTCAGGGTTCTTTTGTGGATATTGGGGTAAACACTGTACTTTTTACTTTCTTATTATAGTATTTTATTGGCACCCAATCCTTCACTCAGACAGGTAGGTTGCTAACGAACCATGGAGTTGTGGGTATGTAGCGATCTCCTGTTCTCCCTTTCCATTTTTCTCTCTGTAGGCAATAATTGTAAAGTAGTTGGGGTTTTTTGAAGTTTTTTGGGGGGGATTGCTAGAAGGAAGTAAGGGCAGGATATACCCTTTTTAAAGTGTACATGCATGGTCTGTTACTATGTTGTGTTATTCCTTTCTGTAACCTTTTAAAAGTGTACATGCAGTGTTTGTTACTATGTTGTGTTATTCCTTTCCTTACCTGGATGTGTAGGTACCAAATGAGACACGGAGGTTCGAATGTATGAAATCTCCACTTCCCCCCTTTCCTTGTTGCCTCTGTGAGCAACAGTTTCAGAGTAGTGTAGATTGTTTTTCTACTCTACCACTCCCTCCCTGGGTGGGTGGTAATAAGTACTTTTAAAAATGTATATAAATGTTTTTTTCTTTTTTCCGTTATTTCATTTTGTACCTAGACTTTTCCACGGACACTTACGTACATGGTGAAAATTAAGGTTCATCCCATGAAAAAGATCTCCTTCTCTTCCCTGTTGCCTTTCTAGGCAGAGGCCCAGATCTGGGGGCAGGGTAAATCTTTTCTCGCGTACCCTGTAGCCTGTGTTCATGAACTTAGTATGAGAATACTGTAGGGCTCA